AGAATGATTTGTGCCTTAAAATTTGTAAGACTTACTAGTTGAAAATTTTTAGTCAAATTAATATAATTCATTAGTTCATACTACGCTAATTGGAGTCAGATGTTATAATGAGTAAATCAAACACCTTATAAAAATCTGTCAGGTAAACACAGCCATCCTGATCAACCAAACACATAAGTTCATAAAAATAGTTACTTCATTTAGTATTCCATTATAAAGCTGTATTGATTAGCATAAGTTATTCTTCATTCTTTACTGAATGTTGTCTGTTTCAGCTTTGCATTTATTTTGTACAGGCTAGATGATCTGTAAATATTTTTTGTACCTTCATACCTGTTAGCTTTATTCCAGTTTTCTGAGCTTCCCCAGTATCCAAGAAAGTATTAAAAATAAATGTTAGCAAATATTGCAACTGCATTGCAAATTACTTAGACTTGCATATTATAAAATCGGACATTAGTAGGTGGTGTTTGGAATAGAAAGTGTCTCTATATCAGTCCAAGATGCAAACATATCCGACTCCTGTCCAAATATGGCACAAATTGTATATTGCAAGCGTCAGGCTTTCCTTCCTTGTTATGGATGACTATATCTCCTTATTGAATAACGTTGTCTAAGCTTCATCTGTTCCTAATTATACGCAAATACCCTTCTTTTGTCTTTTTACTGCTCATCAGGCCTGTCGTCCTCATTAATGCTTCGCTGCTATTCACTGCAAGACGTCGCAGAGGCCAAGCAATTAATAGGGTTCAAAGCTGCACTTGGTTTGGAAACTGTTGTTGTCGCAGTTGCTAATACGCCACAGTCATTAGGAAATAATTTCTAGAGTCGCTAGGGAAGGTCGGACCACCATGGCTATGAAAACGGAGTAGACTGAGGGATACCAAAGACTTCTTAAGGGTCATCTTATTCCTTCTGGTTCCTGGTCACTGGCCACAGTGCCAAGATACCGTGGTCCAGATCTTCAGGACTGCATGGCAGAACTTAAACTGTCATGTATGTTTGTTTAAAAAGGCGCAGGGTGAGATTTGCATTGAAGAAAGACAGCAGAACAGCGTAAAGGATCCTTACAAGCCTTGTCGCTCTTCAAAGCCTGCTTCCTTGGAAGTGCTGGAGGCCCGGGAGAGTGCCAGGTGTTTGGTGTTGATGGATCTGCAGTGCCACAACCCAGGAAGATGGAGATGTCACTTTTATGCTGGAGCCTCTTAGTTTGGGTGCAGCCCAAGAGCAGGAAGGGAGAAAGTTGCTACCAGCTCTTGGGAGGGTAAAACAAACCTCCCAAATACAGAGGTGTGAAGTGAGCCTGAAAGCAGTTTGTGAATTGCTTAGTCTGAAAGTGGACTTTGTGGAGCCGTAACTCAGAGATGAGAGAGCATGCCTTTGTTTTAGTGAGATGTTAGCTTGGCAGCATAGTGATTGCAGTTTAAATTCCAGCGTCATTAGCTAAACCAGTGGTGCCATTGCAGCAGGAACAACCTGACAATGAGCCACCAGGAGAGGTTGATGGATACAGGCTTACATGATGGTTTTCTTAAAACTTAGATCCTCAGTTGTCTTCAAGGTGCAACCACAGCAGAAGAGCTGCTGTATGTCAGGGGAATATCTTCTTGAGCTTGTCATTATTTTTTTTTTGGAAGGAATTAGCTTAGACTGCAGATGCTGAAGGCTTTCTAAAAAAGGCTAGAGTCCAGGTGTGGTTTTTCTTTCCCCTCAGGATATATGTTCAAGGAGAATTGATCTGTGAGGCTTTAGATTAGTACAGGCTTTGTTTGATTGATTTTTATATGGGCCTTTTGAAGAGCCTGCCAAAATTTGACCGTTAATGTAGCTTTTGCATGTAAAGTTCAGCGCTTTTTGCACAAATGTTCTCACTGCACACTGAGTGGATGAAGCTATACTGGAACCAGTCACTCATTCTGGGTTAGGAGTATTCATACAGGGAGATATTAGAAATAGAAAATCTTCATGAATAGAAAATCCCTGAGGCTTATTTTAGGTTTCAGTAAATCTTCCTCCTGTCTGACTGATCTGTTCTCTTCTTCCTAGGTGCATTGTAACAACATGTTTTCCAAGGGGGTGAAGATCTTCCAGAAGGTGGAGTGTCTGTTCAAACCACGCCTGATTGCAGACTGGGAGTCTGAACCTGTTGGAGTTGCAACTGTCTTAGATGACAAAAACCCCAGCGCTAGGTTTGTGACTGTCCCCCTCAATCAGCGTGTAGGTAAAGCCATACTTTGCCGCTTCTACTTTGCTGACACCTGGATGATGATGAGCGAGATTTCCTTCCAGTCAGGTGAGTATTCCTCCAGTCAAGCAGATCTGGCAAAGCACAGAGAGCAAAAGAGGTGGTGTGGAGGTGCAGGACATGTGGGGTTAACACAAGTGTAGGGCACTGGGGGGCTACGTGATGGGAAGGAGGAGGTATAGAAGCACTGAGAGGGTTGGGAGGGCAATGCAGGGGCAGAAAGGTCCAGACTACAGTGGATTCTTTTCAGGCTGATACGATGCACATAAGCAGAAGCACAACCAGGGCAACCAAAAATTGGACTATAGAGCATTTCTTCTTTTTGAGACAGTTGCCTGCTGCTTATGGGGTTGATTTTTACTTCTCTTTACCGAATATTTTGTTATGAATAATTTAAGTATATCTACAGATGATGATCAAGTTAGCAGATTATGAAAAATAAGAGGCTGACTTTTTTTTTCCTCAAGTCTTAACTATGACGCAGAAGTCAGTGCTGTGAGGTGCTTTAAAAGGCTCTAGAAGGGAATGGACAAGAATCTTGAAGAAAACCGCCAGCACTGACAGTGAAATGATCTGGCTTATAGCTTCCTACTTGAAGGTCTTAATCCGCTATAGTGAGAGGACGTTCCTGGGGAAGGAGCGCTCTTATTGCAGCTTGCTGCTTATCTGGCTGATAGCGGCCCCTCCTGGCTACCCTCTGTCACATGTGGGACTAGGCAAACTCTTGGTGTAGCCTGGGATGGCGAGTCTTATAATCATGCTAAAATGGAGAGGAAAAAAAAACCCACCTCTTTCTCCAGTCCCCTGTGTCTGGCCAAGCTCAGGGAAGCATCCTGCACACACTGGCAGTTTGCTGTGGTCAGGACATACATGCTGCTCAACACAGAGGCTCATTCCTGTAGGTGTGGTGGGACATGCTGAGTGAGCAGGTATCTCTGCTCATGCTGTTCGTGACCTGATGCGTGGGTCTCAGCCCAGTCCTGCTTGGGAAGGCAGGAGTGGTGGTTGGGATTGCACTGACCGCTGGCATGAGCAGGGAGGTCGTTGGACTGACACCTTCCCTTCCCTTCCACAGACATGGAGAGTGTGAATCCTAATTTCGTTACGGTAGCCACAAGCACAACGGATCTCCTGGAAACAGAGTGCAACGTTACTGAGGGGACCTGGGGTAAGGACTTCTGTCATTTAGCCATGCCAAGGGCTCAGGTGTTGGGGGAGTTCACAGTAACATCCTAGTAAATGTGGACTCTCCCTACATTTCTGCAGGTCCGGGTATGGCCTGGTTATTGCCCTCATGCACAGAGCTGCATCTTACAATCCTCCAAGCCTCAGCTATTTCTTCCCTCAGCTGGCTAAGGCTGCCTCAAAGCAAGTGGGCTGGAGGCATATGTGCAGCCAGTGAAACTCTGAAAGCTGTCTGCTCTAACATGGATCCATTGCAGGAATCTGTTCCAATGCTAAGAACAGCCTTTAATTGCAAAAGTCCTCTGCGCAATTCTTAGCTGCGAGCCTCCAAAATGAGAATTTCTGATAAGAGCAAAATGTGAACACAGCTAATGTTAATGTTCGGGAAGCTGCCTAAGATCTTTTCTGTACCAGACTGTAGGAAGCTAGCCAGCACAGATAACAACCTGTGCTTTGTTAACTCCAGATTCTTCTTCATTTCTCTATGATTGCAGAAACCACATCTTCTGTAACCAGCACCTGGATAGGAGAGAAAGCAGATGACTCCAATACCTCCATCCTCGTGGGTTGCCTTGTGGCTATCATTCTTCTGCTCCTGATGATTATAATCATTATTCTTTGGAAGCAGTATGTTCAGAAAAGGTTGGAAAAGGTAATACAATGGGGCTATTTTGCAGACACAAGTTCAATACTAAGCATTAACCCTAATGAGCTCAGAATTATGTGGAAAGCACAGGGTTTCCCCAGCTCCGCAGAGTAGCTAAAACTCTGTTCTCACAGCAGGGGAGGATGCCAGCCCTGTGCAAGATGTTACTGGAAATTGCTGTGATTGCAGCCAATACATCGCCTAACAACTGAGCATCACCTCAGCATTTTTTTTCTCTCTTTTTGCAGGCCCCACGTCGAATCCTGGAAGAGGATGCCACAGTTCGCCTCTCCTTCTACAGCTACACCATTGCCAACAACCAGACCCAGATCCACCAGTCAAATCCCACCTATGAACGTGCTTTCCCACTGGATTTGGAGTATCACCAGCCAGCTACGCTGCTCCAAAAGCTTCCAGAGCTCTCCCAAAGTGCAGAGGATTCAGGTAATGTAATCATCAGTCTCCAGAAGTTATGCGTTTATTCTTTTATTATTTCTCTCAGATTCTAAGATGTGCCACTTCTCAGTGTCTAAGTAATCTTCTCTGACTCCTGTGCAATACAATACTAAGCCAGGGACCTAAGGCAATATTCTGGAACTCTGAAACTTTTTAGCAGTTGAAGTTAGTAGAAACTTTGGCAGATGGAGCGCCAGCCCCACTAGAGGATGATGTCCTTTTATTGTTCTCTTTGAAGACTGTGTTTATATGTTAGCCAGGTCATCTTTTAGGAGCTGGTTTTGGCAATCGCAGCAATCGCACATCGTTTGTCTCGTCAGTCCCTCGGCAGTGGAGTCGCTACCTGCAGCACTCCTGGGCTGTCCAGACTGGCTGGTGGAGAAGACCTTTAGCACCTTTTCCTGCAACAAGGGCTCTTTGAAATTCCCTTAGAAAAAGCAGAGGGAAATGCAGCAGAGAATTGTCAGTGGTGCCCTGGCTTCCAGCCCCTGGGGAGCTTTTGGACACATGCAGAAGGGAACGTTTCCAACAGTGTTTTGTACTCGGTGATGGCAATGCTGATTAGTGAATGGAAGGGCAGTGCTGTATTCCTCAAGCACTGACAAGTTGCTAAGATCCAGCACTATACTACACAGGGAGACTGATTTGCATTGAGTCAGGATGCAAATTTGAAGCAGAACAAAAGTTCTGTGTAATACTGACCATAAAGGGAGTTAATTGTAAAGAGTTATGCCATGGTATTTATGTGAAAAAGCTGTAAGAGGTAGCATAGCATGCTAACAGAGTACATGGAAAATGGAGAACCCGATCAGTTCTTGTTGCAGAAGCGAATCCAGAGCAAGTTTGACGTTGCAAACAACATCCCTGCGTCAGGTAAGGAGAACAGGTCATATTTGGGATGAATCAGAAACAGGAAATCGCTTCAGTCTCATGCCTCCATGTCTGGGCAAGAACTTTAGCTCTCATAACTGGATAGAGAGGCAGCTGTTTAACACGAATTCACTGGCACCTCACAGGTATTCTGGTGTCTGCAGAAGCGTGGCTTGCTCTGGTTTAAGCCCTAATTAAAACAAAGGAGAGTCTTCCATCTGGGTGTACCTTGGTACAAGGTGGTAGGCGTGCAGCTAGGCTCAATTCCCAGAGGTCTGCAGGATCGAGAGGAATGGAAGCCAGGCCATACTCATTTTAAGGGAGTGAGTGTGTCTGACTCCACCTGTCTTTGTTTCCCCTTAGTGTGCAGTGGGGACTATGCTGAGCCCGACCTGACCAAGTCCACTCCTCACCAAGGCTTTCAGAACAATGTTCCTCACTACGCTGAAACAGATATCGTCCACCTGCAAGGTGTGACCGGCAACAACATGTATGCAGTCCCAGCCCTCACTGTGGATTCACTTACCAAGAAAGACATCTCAGTGGGTGAATTCCCACGGCAGCAGCTACGACTCAAGGAGAAACTGGGAGAAGGACAGTTCGGAGAGGTACGGCCCTCCTCTTCCATACTTCCTCTAACAGAAAGGAGATCCCTGGCACGCTGAAACTTCTGAGCTGCCCCTGGCACTGCTTCGTATTTGGGGGCTGAGGGATGTGGATAACAGTACCTTCTTTAATACATGTCTTTGCTGTTGGGGAAAGCTGATGGTAGGCTTCAGAGAGCCCTGTTCTGCACTTGTGAGGCTGCTGCTTGGTACCACCTGAGTCTTTCTCAACAGATGAGCTTTGCAAACTTTTTTTTTGTTTGCTGTCTGTATCTCCATTTATGACCCTATACAAAAGGCCTGGGGATGTGAGTTCAGACTGTTTCACAATCTTCCATGGATGTCTCAAACATTTGATGGCTGTCACCCACCTTTAGGCATGTGAGTTTGAAAACTCCAGCCTAGACAGATTGATCCTAGCTGTAAAAACAGCTTTCACATTAGCAGGTGGAGGTTCTGGTGGACCTCTGCACGCTGACCGAAGCAAAGACAGGCATTTCCCAAGCACTGTGATGCCCTCACATATTCTCTAGCATTGCTGCTTGCTCAAGCCCCAGTTTGTGTCAGAAGCCTCAGGCAGCATGATACATGCATCTGTCATCTGCCAAGCTTTCTCTTTACTCCTTGAGCTCCTTTCAAGCCATGAATGTTTTCACCTTGCCTTTTCTTCTCTCCCTGCTTCATTTCCACACTATCCCTAGTTCCATACTGAGCAGGTCTTCCCCACTCCTGCTCTCACTGTTCCACTGTCTCTCTCCCCCCCCCGCCCCCCCCCCCCCCCCCCCCCCCCGCCGC